CGTGATCTGGCTGCTGCTCGCCCCTCCAGCCCCTTTCTCGTCTTGCTCACCATCCTCTAACCACTTAGTTTTTCATGTCAGGACTTTTGCATTTACTGACCCTCTTCATAACACATTATTGCCTCCTGATCTTTACTTGGTTGATTCCTCCTCACCTTCCAGCTGTAGCTCAAATTTCTCAATAAAAAAATTCTTCCCTAATTCCCTAAATTAGCCATCTCTATATCTCCAATCACATTACATTCTTTTTATATTTAAAATGACTTTTTCAGTATTTGAAATGATCTTACTTATTATTTTGTTTACTTGCTCGTTTTTTGTTAAACTAGAATTGTAAAAAGCAAGAAAGTACCCCCTATGTCTAGAATAGAACCCAGCATATAATAGGGTTCAAGAGTATTTAATAAATGAATTAATTATAGTTCTGCGCCTGAAATGAAATATAAGTCTCAGATAAATATCATAAGGCACAAAAATATGTATTAAGTGGTTCAAATTCACATAAATATGGTAATGTTGAAATTAAAATTAAAATTATAAAGTTCTTTCCTATTATTCTTCAGCCTGCCTGCAAGAACAGGAATTCTGTTGAGAAATAGTGGTATAAGTCAGGAAAAACCCAGAACTGCTTTACAGAGAGTAATTTCAGACCATGTTATATCTCTCTGGAGACAAGCTTCTTTTATGAGAAGCTCTTCTGCTTACTGAAGCAGGCCCATGCTGATTCTTACCAAAATTTTCAGGATGAGCATCAGAACATTTCCAAATATCCTATTTTATACTCATTCCCTTGCCCTCTCACTTGTGAAAAATATGTCTTTTGCAATTCCTCTACTTAACATCATCTCTTCCAAAAAGATGGCTCTTCCAAAAGGATCGTTATCGGGTCTCCAGTACTAGCAGTGAACTTGTTTTGTCCCAAGTCTTTGGGTTTCAAAAATAAAGCCTGTAGATGTCCCAGATGTCCTTTTATTAAGTTCACAGAATCCAAATGGAAAAAGGTTATTACCAGACAGAGGTGTTTATAAATGAAAATCAAACTTAATACGTGGACTCGGACAACTGGAATGAGGAATATAATATTTATAAAACTGAGTAGGAGGTTGCAATCATTGCTCTAAAATAAAGCATTAAAAATTAATTCAGAGCAAACCTGTCTGTGCTACAGCAAACCTCTCTTTCATTAAGATAGCACTGCATGTTTCTCCAGAATTAGTTTCCCCCAAATAAGTAAATAGCTTGTAAGAACTAGATGTTCTGCAAACTACAGAAGAGCTACCTGAGGCATGGTTTAGAGTTGCTTTTAGTATTAAAGCTTTACAGCCCTTTCATTTTGAACCAATTAATTGTGATTCTTGCAGTTTCCCTATCTTTTTTGCCCTTGAGTATTACTAGCAAGATTTAATTCACATGCTTTTATCCATGTTCATTTGATTAATCCAAATGGTGCTATAACATTTGATTATGTTGCAGAATACTAAATCTTCCCTTTCATTTTGAACCAATTAATTGTGATTCTTGCAGTTTCCCTATCTTTTTTGCCCTTGAGTATTACTAGCAAGATGTAATTCACATGCTTTTATCCGTGTTCATTTGATTAATCCAAATGGTGCTATAACATTTGATTATGTTGCAGAATACTAAATCTTGGAGAACTGTGGATACCAGTTATAAGTTATACTTAAATATTTTGCACAGATTTTCTATTTCAAAAACTTTGTGTTCTACATTTTTAAAATATTTTCTCCCTATCTTCTTTTACTTCACATTAGTGTTATGTTACTATTATTATTAGTTTCCTACTTCAGAATGCACTAAAAAGAAAGAAAAATAAAACTCCTAATATTATTTCTGCATTTTTAGTTGAGTTGGGGTTTTTATTTTGTCCAATTTATACCATTCTTCTGAAGCCCTAAAATAAATAACCTTATAACCTCTAGGCCCTATTGATTTTCAAGTGATTTCAAATAAAAAGCATCCAGTTTCCATTGCATTGACAAACTGTTCAGTCCCTGGACAAAACTTATTGGATTCCTGTTATGTGGGAGCAGCAAGAAGCAACAAAAAATCCAAAAGGTGGATTTGCGGTGGAGATGGAGAGGTGGTCTCAACTCAGCTCCGTAAATGAATACTTAACCTTTGACCAATGATGACAGGTCTTCTTCAGTTCTGTTAGGCCAAGAGCAAACTGTTATGATTAAATAAAAAAGAAAAAAACTGTTTAGAGCCTTACTGAATATGTCCTGGGAATTAAAGCATATGGCAGGGATAAGGAAAAAAGATTTTCCTTATGCTAATGACCCTTGATGTCTGAAATAAATTAGATCCATTAGAGTTTATGCTCAATAAAAGAAAGACTTTAAGCACTCCAAAGTTAGTGACTCGAGACCAGTTTTTGCTCTGAAATTCAATCTGCCTACTTATTAATTCTTAGTGAGGCCCCAGAGCAGACAGGAGACGCAAAATCATAATTCTGTACTGAATCAGAATTTTAAAGGACCACAAGTTCCTTTTCCTTTTCTTTTAATTAAACCATTTTTCATGCTTCCCATTTTGTTTCCCTCATTAATTTGATTTTGTTCCCATTTTTGTTTCATTTTTTTTTCTTTTCAAGGTTTCATTTATCCTATTTCAACTGAACAGAGAACCCAGAATGAATATGGATTTTCTTGTAAGTTTGATGTTTGGATTTTATGTTGCTGAATAATCATTTAATGTTATTGCCCCCAGTTCAAGTTTACCTTTCTTTGGATCACAGATGTGCACACAGGAAATAGAAGTCTAATATATTCTAACATGAAAAACAAATTAGATTTTCACTGCAGAAGAGAAGAAAGGGTCATTTCAAGTCTCTGCCAGCTTTAAAATCTATCAGTCTACCATTTAAAGCTTGAGTCCCAGTCGCTGACAAAACATATCATGAAATATGCCGATGTAAATAAAGGGCAGGGTTCAAATACCAAAAAGGAAAGGGTTGAGAAAATGCAGATCTATTGAGCTAGAAATCATGAATGTTGAATAAGTAATCATGGCCTGGTAAAGTAAAACATTAAGGAATTAGACATAATACTCTAACCAGAGTTCAGAATCCTGCCGCAGGGCCTCAAATAAAACCCAGCAGCAGGGCCAGCCTGTGGCTTACTCAGGAGAGTGCGGTGCTGATAACACCAAGGCCACAGGTTCGGATCCCACATAGGGATGGCCAGTTTGCTCACTGGGTGAGCGTGGTGCTGACAACACCAAGCCAAGGGTTGAGATCCCCTTACCGGTCATCTTTTTTTTTAAAAAAAATAACCTAGCAGCAAAGGGAAGTCAGCACTTTGAAAGTGGTGCTCATGTGACCAAGAGTATTTGAGATGTCACTGGTCTTCTGAAAAAATCTGTTAATACTGACTTGATTGATGGGTAAAATGGATATCCTGGAAAGCTTGAGAAAGACAATTTTTTAAAAAGAAAGGAAAATCCTTTCACATACACTACATTTAAACACAACATGCTAAAAGAGATGGAGCAATTTCCAATAAGGAATTCATTTATTCTGCCAATGTGTGAAAGATACCATGAATGAGAGCGTGAGTTATCACATGAGCCACTGGCAAATGAAATGATGAGTTATTTCACCACATAAACCATGTGGCTGTGAGGCTTAGGAGACAGTAGAGGTTCCTCAATTTTTTTTTTTTTTTTTTTTTTTTTGCTGGCTGGCCAATACAGGGATCAAACCCTGGATCTTGGTGTTATCAGCACCATGCTCTAACTGAGCTACCAGCCAGCCAGCTTCTCAAATTTTAGGAGGCCATGGGACCTACAAACTTGAAAACTGTCTCTCCCAAAATATGCACATGTATATAAAATTGATCATAAAATTTTAAGTTGTTCTTGACCACCTGAAGTACTAATTTAAGCATCACTTTTACGATAAGCAGAGTAGCTTTGGTTAACTTTGCTAAACATTTCTTGTAGGTCACAGAAAACTAAAAACAGAGACTTAAAGATGTCAAAGAGGTTCAACAAAGGTTTAATTTTGTTTGTTTGTATGATTTTAATTATCAGCTTCTATCACCTTTTCCAATTGGATCAAAGTGCTCTCTGTGCTACCAAGGCAACATTTACAGGAATTCTGTTCTTGCTTTACCCAGAAACAGGTCCCCAATTGACTACACACTGTGCTGGTCACATGTGCCATTTGCCTTCTGGGGTAGTCTGACCTATATGATCACTGACTCAGGCCTTTATCTTAATTAGTAGACCATAGAGCTATATTTTATTCCAGTAATGAGTAGATCAAATGTAAATCTGACACGGGACCATGAGAAGCTCAGGGTTCTCAGAAATAATACTGCATCTGTATCAAAAGCCTGGACTTAGAGAAGGTATTGGCATTAACCTCTGCTCCCCAGATCTGGGCCTTCTGAAAGCACACCTTTCAAATCCAATATGTTTGCTGCTAATATTTGCTTTGCTTAGTTACCCCATTCCCACCCACCCCTCCACTGATTTAAGGGAAAGTGAGAGGAGTGCTATCAAAAGAAATTTTATGACTTGGAATGATACTTAGGAAAATACTCTGGTTCAATAAATATACAGATTCAAATCATGCCAGATATCTCTAGCAGCATTTATGTTTATGTTTTTGAATAACTATTAGTGGATTCACAAACCTTTTCAAACTTTTCTACCTGAAATGAGTAATAAACTTTATTTTCCTGTGGGTGGGTACGGTTCTAGCTGTAGTTTCTTTATATGCTTGGTAACAAATGGTCTGTTATGCTGCCCAATTATAAGATAGATTAGGGGGTGGATAGATGCAGAGGGCGAAAGAAAAATCAGAGATAATTTTCCATTGAAAGGCCACAGTCATTTTATATAGCTTTGAAATAGATTTGAAATTAACCTATTAAAAAAGGCAATAAATGTCTGAAAAAATTATAGTAATGCATCTGTGTACTGTGGGAAATTTCTATAAGCAGTTGGTCTAATGTTCCATTCTTCCCCTCTAGCTGCTCCTGATTCAGATGACGTTGCTCTCTATGTTGGGATTGTGATAGCGGTGATAGTTTGCCTGGCGATCTCTGTAGTTGTGGCCCTGTTTGTGTATCGGAAGAATCATCGTGACTTTGAGTCTGATATTATTGACTCTTCGGCACTCAATGGGGGCTTTCAGCCGGTGAACATCAAGGCAGCAAGACAAGGTCAGTGGACGTTCCACGGCACAGCCTGTGACTTATGCCTGTAAGCAGATTCCCTGTGTGTCTTCAGAATCAGGGATATTGGACCATCCACTTCAGCTAGAGTGGTAGTCAATGAAGACAAAAATTTTGGTCATTTCTCTATTCATGTCATTCACATAAGAGAATGCAAAAATCATCTTTTTTTCTTTTCTGACTGGTTGCCCTGTCGCACTTTTTAACTTCTTTTTGAAAAGAGTACACTGATTGCTTGACTAATTTTTTGAGTCTCCTTTTCTCTCCTTTGACATTGCTGTGTATTGCTATGAATACAGTGGTTTACAGATGAACCCAAATTCAGTATAAACAAGGAAGACTATTACCTAAAAGTCACCTAGCAGGGCTCATTGTTCAATCCAGTCGGTTGAAATAGCTTCGTTTTTTAGGTGTAATGAGTAGATTTCAAAGAAGCATTTAGAATGAGCTTGGCTACTTATTTATAGCCAATAATAAAAATGATGCAAGTTACCCGATTGCCCTGTTTTCAGCAGGGCCTTTCAGTCCATACATCTCCAGGATTAGCCAAGCTGCTTTGCTTTGGGCTCAGAAAGAGGAGGGGGAATCTGATTAATGTAGGTTGGCCGAATGAAGAATGCAAATGGAATTCTTTTCTCTTTCTGACTCCGATTGCCCTGTTTTCAGCAGGGCCTTTCAGTCCATACATCTCCAGGATTAGCCAAGCTGCTTTGCTTTGGGCTCAGAAAGAGGAGGGGGAGTCTGATTAATGTAGGTTGGCCGAATGAAGAATGCAAATGGAATTCTTTTCTCTTTCTGACTCAGACCTTCTGGCAGTACCTCCAGACCTCACCTCAGCTGCAGCCATGTACAGAGGACCTGTCTACGCCTTGCATGATGTCTCAGACAAAATCCCAATGACCAACTCTCCAATTCTGGATCCACTGCCCAACCTGAAAATCAAAGTGTATAACACATCAGGTGCTGTCACACCCCAAGATGACCTCTCTGAGTTTACATCCAAGCTTTCCCCTCAGATGACCCAATCCTTGTTGGAGAATGAAGCACTCAACTTGAAGAATCAGAGCCTGGCAAGGCAGACTGATCCATCCTGCACTGCATTCGGCACCTTCAACTCCCTCGGGGGTCACCTTATTGTTCCCAATGCAGGTAATTCCTAAAGGTGTAAATTGCAAAATGCAGCTGGAAAACATACTTTTTTGGTACCAAAATCTTTTTGTTTGTTTTTATTAGGCCTGAAAAGTTCAATGTAGCCTATCAAACCCAAATCTACTTTCAAAGTAAACTAAACATTATTTTAGACAAAATCAGCAAAACCATTTATCTTTCCTCAACCAACTCTGAAAACACTTCCTCTAGAAATATTATATGCACAACTTTCTGCTGAGGAGTCATTTAGAACTGTCATTGACCTTCTTTTTAATAGAACTTCAGAAAGCAGCATCAAGCCAGGAACACTCACTGTTGTCATTATACTTAAAAAGGACAAATTAATTAGAAAACATATCAGTTGGCTCAGTTCCAATTTACTACATGAAGGAATACTTCATAATAATAATTTTAGATGATCAGAAGATATCATAATAGACATCAACTCATTTATTAACTTAACTATTACACGGGCTTTAACATCTGTGTATTTATAAGGTACTCACTCCTACCTCTGATATATCTATCTAAAATCTTAGCTTCATCAGGTGTCCTTTTGTAGTATTATTTGGTTTTCAGTTTATTATGGAATTTATCTGCATCTAGAATATAAGCCTCATAAAGGTCTTCAATGTTGGACTTAAGTTAGTGACTGATAATGCTGGATTAAAGATTGATATTCGATCTTGACTCTTTTGTACAAAACTGTGAGTATTTTGTAAATACAATAATAAAAAGCAACTTGATTGACCTAAAGTGCTAATGTCACATAAGGAAATATATATTCAGTCCAGTAATGTGCAAACCAATGGATCTTCAGGCCCGAATACAAAATTTCATATTTGATTCTTCCTTTTATTCAGTCCCCCAGTTCAATGCCTTGTCAACTTTTCACTCCTTATCTTTAAAACTACATTTTAATAAAATTGAAATATTTATTAGGATATCATTTTTTTTCTTTTTTTAATAATATAAATAATCTGAGGTCATGTATTATACATAATGCTTTTTTTTGCCTTTTTCTCATTAATTTTCATGTTATTGCATGCTCTCCAAAATCATAATTTTAAGTATCTTTATAATAGTCCACCAAATGAATGGATCAAAACATACTCTATTATTCTTCCATTGTTTAAACATCATAATTATTCCCAAGACACTTATCTTCCGCCTGATAGTCACTGGATTCTGCCTTTCCTTTCCATTTTTACACCTGCCATTTTTTTATATGTGAATTATTATAAAGTCTTCTTAAGTAGAAGGAAGGGAGCTAGCATGTTTTAAATACTTCCTGTACCCGTATACTAGGCAATGGTGATCAGCATACATTATTTTATTTAATAGAGTAACCATAGTTACCTAATATTTGTCAGGCCTTATTCTTGTTACTTTACGTCCATGATACTGTTTCATCCCCATAACAAAAATGCAGGCATGTTTTATGGTTCCATTTGAAAAAAATAAAAGTGTTGAGGCTTGGTAGCCTCATGTGTGGTCTTTCTGCTTCCACTCTGTGCCCTCCACAAACCGTTCTGCACATTAGCACGAGGCTCCACGTCCCACTGCACCAGGGCTCTCACAGTACTTTCCTTCTCAAGAAGGCCATGGCTCAACATCTCCAAGCACTTACACAAAGGCTTTTGAATAACTGTTCCCCTGATCTCTTCATTCTTTATTCTCTAGACTTTCCACCGTCATCAGGCAAGGTTTCTTATTGCCCCATGCTCATTTGTCATATTCCATTTCCTTGCTAATTAAATTATAAATTACATACTCTATTATTCTTCCATTGTTTAAACATCATAATTATTCCCAAGACACTTATCTTCCGCCTGATAGTCACTGGATTCTGCCTTTCCTTTCCATTTTTACACCTGCCATTTTTTTATATGTGAATTATTATAAAGTCTTCTTAAGTAGAAGGAAGGGAGCTAGCATGTTTTAAATACTTCCTGTACCCGTATACTAGGCAATGGTGATCAGCATACATTATTTTATTTAATAGAGTAACCATAGTTACCTAATATTTGTCAGGCCTTATTCTTGTTACTTTACGTCCATGATACTGTTTCATCCCCATAACAAAAATGCAGGCATGTTTTATGGTTCCATTTGAAAAAAATAAAAGTGTTGAGGCTTGGTAGCCTCATGTGTGGTCTTTCTGCTTCCACTCTGTGCCCTCCACAAACCGTTCTGCACATTAGCACGAGGCTCCATGTCCCACTGCACCAGGGCTCTCACAGTACTTTCCTTCTCAAGAAGGCCATGGCTCAACATCTCCAAGCACTTACACAAAGGCTTTTGAATAACTGTTCCCCTGATCTCTTCATTCTTTATTCTCTAGACTTTCCACCGTCATCAGGCAAGGTTTCTTATTGCCCCATGCTCATTTGTCATATTCCATTTCCTTGCTAATTAAATTATAAATTACTCAAAGACAAGAACACTATCTTTTACTTCTTGGCATTCATAACAGTGCCAAGCATTGTACTCACAAGGATGCTCCATAAATTTTTATTGACCTGAATTAAACTGAATTTTATGTATATAAATGATGGAGCCAAACATCTTCAGAGTGCAGCCCACCCTCATGCACTCTTTGTGACAGCGATCAGTACTACAGCCAGCGGTGCTTACGGGGTGGACCCCAGACCACCAGTGTGGGCATCTGAATTAAACTGAATTTTATGTATATAAATGATGGAGCCAAACATCTTCAGAGTGCAGCCCACCCTCATGCACTCTTTGTGACGGCGATCAGTACTACAGCCAGCGGTGCTTACGGGGTGGACCCCAGACCACCAGTGTGGGCATCACCTGGCAACTTCTTAGAACTACACAATCTCCAGCCCCACCCCAGACCTTCTGAATCAGAAACTCTGGGGGAGGGTCCAGTAATCTGTGTTTTAAAAGGCCTTCCAAGTGATTCTGGTGCAAGTGCAAATTTGCAAACCTCTGCTACAAGCACAGTTAGCTTAGAACACAGCTCAATGCAGTTCCTACAAAATGGCACAATTAACAACTAAGTAGAAACCCTCTGACCTGCTGTCACTTAACTAGCAGCTGCTGTTCAGTTTCTAGAGTTATGTATAATAAAAGAAGTTCTTCACCAATTCTAATTCTGTTGTAGAATAACACTGATGTTAAACAGATATTTCAGAAATAAATTTTTTTGATGTGGTTGAAGTTAGCATTTCCCTGACTTTGAATCTTGTGGGGATTTTTTAAAAATTTGAAACTATGCATTATTACAGCTGTTTGAAATTTTAAGAGCCACTGTTGGTTTTCCCCTTGTTTTACAAGGAAAACAACAGTGAGACCATCTGTGTATTCCTTAAATAAAACAAGAATCTAAAAAATTACGTCATTCCTTTAAGTCATTCCATAAAAGTTCAGAGGGAGCTGTGGTAAGAAATAAGGCCAATAAGGAAGGAAAGCAGAAAACTATGAATATTTACATGTCTTTAGAAAAAAGGAAGCAAGTTTCTTGCTACATGGTCACAAAAATCTCCTTATTCCCTTTTACTTGCTGCAGAAGCATTCGATGAAGCTTCCTTTTGACTCATAAGTCTTATATGACTGTTTTTCTCTTTTGCTATTCAGGAGTAAGTTTGCTGATTCCCGCTGGGGCCATTCCCCAAGGGAGAGTCTATGAAATGTATGTGACTGTACACAGGAAAGAAAATATGAGGTAAGCATGCTTTTCTGGTGCACCTGATTTTATCACTGTCTAACTTGGAGAACTGTGCAATAGAAAGAATAAACCAAACCTATTTTTGTCTTGATTGCCCTGCTTCTGACATACATTTTTCCTCTAGACTGACAAAAGGTCAAGTTTTCCTTTTCTTTGTCTTTGAAGCTCCAGACTCTTTTACAGATCTTGAATATGGGTAGAAGGCCAGAGATCTTTTCTGTGAACATGCAGCTGAAAAAATGGCCAGAAATGTGATCCATAGTTTGTCCAGAGAGATATGTGGGTAGACACAGAGACATCAACTTCATGTGGCCTGGCTCAGGAATCCAGCCTGTTCCCATTATAGAGTTAAAGGTCAGAAAGGATTGTACAGCCCCTTAACTCCTGACCTGCCACTCCCACCTGAGCCTGGTACTTAATTCTTCCCCACAGATTCTTTTGTGACTTTCTTCTAGCTTAACCAGTATCAACCTCCTACTTATGTTTAAACACTTATAAATTCCATGCTTTTTTTCAAACTAGGCCTAAGGTTGAACAAAACTAGGTTGAATCAAAAGGCCTGTTTCTACTGTGTCATCATCATAAAGATGAAATTATTTTAAGTAAAAATAACAAGAAGAGTTTAGAAGTCTTGAATTCAGTTTTCAGTTTGACCTCCAATGAATTGCATATGGTCTTTTTTGATTAGTTACCATATAAAGTGCATGTGTTAAATAGTGCTTTAGAGGCCTGACTGGTTAATATTTCTGAAGTTCACTAAGATCTTAAAATAAAAGATATTGTTAAAATGGAGATCATCATCATGTAATTATCATTGTTTTTCCCAGGGGGAAGAGCGTGGGCATCTCAGCTTTGAGCTCTGAACACAAAGCCTGAGTGACAAATGTAGACCTAGGCTGTCAATATAGCACATTACACCTTTTCTCTTCCCCTCTGTCATCCTTAGAAAAACATCCATTTCTAGTCTTGTTCTTCAGTAGCTGAAGAGCTCTTTTATTATGCTCTCAGGTGGAGATATTGGTATTTATAATTGATATGACCCAGAACATCTTTTCTTCAGGTGGTGTACTTTCACCTCCACGAACACTAGCCCATGTAAGAAAATGATAAAATTCTTTGAGTATTATTCATGCCTTAAATTTGAGCAACAGAAAATCACTAAAAGGCTTGTATTTACCCACATCAAATATTTTTTTTTTTCATTCCCGATGCAAAGCAGCATTCATAGGCCATCAGAGCTCCCCTCTTTTGCAAACAGAAGAGAAGATCATTAGCAAACTCCAAAATCTCGGTTTTATTTTCATTCTCCTGTCCAGAGTCAAGGTTAACATTAAGTAGATCCATCCATCAAGGCTTTTGCCAACATGGACATTTTGTTTAAACAGCAACAAGTATTGGCTTTTGCTTTATGCTAAGAAGCCGGGAGGTGCTCATGGTCTCTTATTTTCATCTGATTACCACTGTCTTCCACTGAAGATGAAGCCCTAAGGGGCTGCTGCAGGCAAGGGCTGAAGCTGAAGGATATGTGTGCTCACGCCTGCTCCGGTTTTCCTTCTGTAGTTTAGCTGGCATCATAACCAGGATAATTGTATATATTAGATGAAGGAAAGAGAAAACAGAAAATTGATAAAGCTAGACACTTCTGCTTTTAGGTTCCTCTGCCTTTGACTATTGAGAAAAGGAGAGTATAAATCACTTCTTGCTATGCCTACTACCTGAAGTTAGGTGCAGAGGGAATTTTCTATTGAATTTGCTGTGCATCAAAGAAGTTCTGTATATAAAAATAAAGCTAGAGAAACCTGAGGACCACAAAAGAAAATATGTACCAGAGACCATAAAAAAAGAACAAACACAAGAAGATAACCCTGCCTGTGCTAAATGAGAAGTCCTCTCTTCACTAATTTTCTGCTTTGAACTAAATGCATTTTTCTTATAAAAACACACTGACAAGAATGTGCTTCAGACTACAGCAATAATCCAAATCATCTGCTGCCATTTATTCAGCATGTTCTTAATTTCATGTATTCCTCATCACAACTCTGCAAGCTATAGTGAGCTCCCCTTTAAAGACAAAGAAATTAAAGCTCCGGGAAGTTGGCTCACATGGCCAGGGTTTCAAAGTTACTAACTGAGGGAGGCAGAATTCAAACCCAGGGTCATCTAACCCCAAAGCTCTTCCGCTTGCTAATGTGCCATCCCCCCTCCATAGCACGATACACGAACCAAGCCTCTGCCTCCTGTTTCTAGTGCATTTTTGGACACACCTTCTATTGCTCACTAAAGCCTCCCTCTATCCTTACCTCTAACCCCAAAGCTCTTCCGCTTGCTAATGTGCCATCCCCCCTCCATAGCACGATACACGAACCAAGCCTCTGCCTCTTGTTTCTAGTGCATTTTTGGACACACCTTCTATTGCTCACTAAAGCCTCCCTCTATCCTTACCAGATATGAGATAGAACTTCTTTGGGAGAAGGCACTCTGAGGACATCAGACAAGGTAGATGTTACTTCAAAGCACTCATAGGAAAATTCTGAGCATTTTTCTCCATTTTCTTTCTCTCTGATTCCTTTTATTGAATCCAAAATGGGTGTGTTTCCAGCTGATCATCTGCTGATGCGAATTATCTGAAGGGAGGCATGAACTTAATTACATGTAGCATAGTGAATGTGACAAGAGGGGCCTTATCATGAGAGAAAGCACAGACAGGCAGATGAATAAATAACCTGAATGAAGCACAGACACGGGACAAGCCAACTCTGGCCAAAGAGTGTGCAGAGCTGCAAGGCTGTGCTCAGGATTTCTGCCTCTCCTGCATTACAGAACTCTGGGGAGGCTGCAAAGCCTGTTTCCCCATGGATACAATTTCCACCATTAATGGCACTAATGCAGGCCTTTTTACCTTATTTCTAGCAGCAGTTTTTTTAAAAAATGAGTGACTCAGACTGAAACGTTGCTCTTTGTCAGTTCTTTTTGAAAAACAATTTGCGTTAAAGATATGAAAGTTAATTTTCCCTTTTCTCCGCATTCTGTACTCACCTAGCAGTTTTATCCAAAGGCAAAAAAAATCAATATATAGAAATCCCAAATATAAAGGTAAATGAAACACTTTTTTTGTAAACTGTGGGGAGCCACAGAAGGTTTCTAAGCAGCCAAGTGACACAGAATAGCAGCGCTTTTTAAGGACTGATCTGGTGACCACGTGCGGGCTGGACTGATGAAGGGACAGAGGCGTCTCCCTGGGGGCCGGGCCTGGGTGGGCTGTGGCAATCCTCTAGGCATGAGGAGAGGGGAATGAGCCAGGCCTGAGCCCGACAGAATGGAAATGAGATGTGTTTCACCAGAAAACATATTTCACAACCGGCTAGAAACGTTGCAGAGGAGTGGCCAAACACAGCAAATATATTTAGGAATCAAGCCTCGGGCACGGAGAGAGTTTTGAGAGCCATGAAAGAGGTCAGAAGCAGCACAGGGTTTGCGGAAGGCAGATTGGGATTTGGATGTGCTGGGCCTGCGGGAGTGGGGAGTGGGGAGGGGGATGCGTGCTGGAGGCACACAGGTGAGGTCATGGCTGCCGGTGAACCTCCACCCAAGAGAAGGCACAGGCAGAAAGGAGAGAGCTGGGGAGAGAAGTTTGGGAAGCATTCCCGTTCAGATTTGAGTGTGGTTAGAGAAACTAAATGGAACATGTGAAGATAAGGCAGATAAATGAAGAGTTTGCATCTAGCACAGTGCTTAACATCTAGTGGCCCTCAATGAATGTTTTTGTATGAAAGGATAAATATAAGGATAAATAAACAACTTGGAGTATAATAGGATCTCAAAAATCAAAGGTAAAGGGAGCTTCAAGATGGAAAGGTGGTTGACAGAGGCGTCATTAGAATTAAAATGTAAAGAAAGTAGAAGAACATTAAAAAATGTTTGGGTTCATCAATTGCAGGACATTGGTGGCCTTTACGATTTGTTTTATTGATGAAATCCCACTAGAAAGGGTTTAAGGCGTGAGTTAGTGGTGAGGCAACTAAAACTTTCATATATAGCTAGTAAAATAAAAGTAGTAAAGTACTATATTATGATAAACTTAGAGGGCCAAAAATCCCTTATGTGGGTAATCATATAGGAGAAAGTTTTTATTTATTTTAACAAGTTATTGTTTGGAACTTTGTAAAATGGTAGTTGATGTTATTATTTCTTGGGTGAAACTCAATGATATTTCTCCTTTTAGGAAGAGATTTGTTTCTCATTCATGAGTCCCAAGTTCCTCAGTTTGAAAGAATAGCTATAAAAAGACTAAAGATGAGGGGACAGTGAGTCCAGGTATATTTAAATCTTATTTTCTCACTGTTCTCCACAATGTTTACTTTTTAAAATACTGTTTCTAAAGAAATGCTTCTAGGTGGTTTATGGAAACACATTCTTTTCAATGGCAGGGAAATGATTTTAAGTAAGTGAATGAAAAAAGATAAGGAAATGGGAAAAATAAATGTTATAAAAGATAAGATAAAGTCAGGTGAACAGTTAGAATATAAAAGATTTGGTGTAAATCCCAGCACACTTCCTGATAATAAGTTATGAATGTACTATTTTGAAGCTTTCAAGAGGGGAACGTGTTAAGTTACAAGATCCAAGTGTCCATGAGGAAAGGAAATACGCCCAAACAAAGCTCAATTATTTCTCCTTTGGTTCCTCATACAGAAGACATTTTGTTAATACAATGAACAGCATCCTTAAAAACAGCAATGAGTTTCAAAGGCTGCTTCTATTTAGTGTCCCTCAGTGGAAGTAGATTGTATAAGACCCAAGTATAAATTCAGTACAATAATTCCACAAGGATTCAGCCATTCCGTCCAGAGCACAATGCTTAGCTGTTCAGGCTTAATCCAGGGATAGATTTTGGCGTGTCTAGGGACATGGTGACACGCCCTTCAGAGTGGCTTCCATAAATATTTTCTTTTGCTCAATTGAGCTTCTGATAGCAAGTGAGTTAGATATTCCCTGTCAGGTACCTAGAGTGCATATATTTCAAGTTGCCATTTATGTGTGAAGGCGTGTGCTTTAAAAGGCAGCTGAGCCTAGGGTGGGGTTGTCATCCTGAGGGACCTGACAGAAGACACGTGTGTTAAATAGAAGGCATCTCATCTCCCCACAGAGGTGGATGGAGATAGATTCCTTCTAAGGGGTTTTTAGCCTGCTGTAGCAAACAGACGAGAAAAATTTATCATGGCCCTAAACCATTATAAACAACTCAGAACACACTACTGGGTGAAGAAAACTAAATGACTTGCGTTTGAAATGTAGCTTTGCCAATGACTGGCTTTCCGTCCTTAGGCAAGTGTGTCAATATCTCTAGATTTCAGTTTTCTGCAAAAGAGGTAATATAAATACTTACTCTAACTACCTTACAGGTGTGCCATGAGCAGCAAATGCAATTTCTTCTATGAAAGTTTTGTAAATTATGCAATTTTGTGTAGAAGTTCTCACTGATAACAGCAAGCAAAGGATGAGAAAATATGTCTGACAGAAACTGAAACTCCTCTTTGTGGGCTTTGTGCTCGAGGCCTAGGAACCCATCCAGCATTTACCATGATATTATCCTTGATGGACTTTGAAAAGCCTTTAAAATTTTAATCATTGTTCTTTGCTGAATTTCTACTTGATTGGTGCTTCTGTAGCTAATTTTTGCTCTGTGTTCATTTTCATATCATCTGCAATTAATATTTACAAATTGCTTGAATAGCTTAGAGAACACGTAAGACATAAAGGAGTGAAGGCTTTCTCTGCAAAAACATGAATCAGACGTATTTATTATTTCCTGTTCTTTACGTATTTTAATATCCTCTCTTTATATAAATAAAGAAATGTGAATTCATACACCATGACTTTTGATTTCACATAGTTAAATCTTACTCTTCCCTAAGTCACTCCTTCCGTATATGCTTGGAAATGTTTCCAATTTCAACGCTACTTCTTTCATCTTGAAAACATGTAAGAGATTCTTATTATTTCTTCTTTGTTTTTCATTCCATTAGGAATTCCACTCCAGCACTTTCCTATTCATTACATTCTTGCACCTCACTGGGTTAATAAATTCTTTTGACACCTACTGCCCCTCCTTCCTTCTCCTTCCCTTGCTATCCCTCCTCCAAGAATGGTGCCCATCAATATTGTATGCCAGGGGTGTGCTCAGAGAGTACAGGTCTGACAGCCCCCAACCCAGCGGGGAGTCTTCTTCTCCCTTCTGTTCCAACTCAGTGATGAGGAGAACCCCTCCTCCTTCCTGCCTCAAGCACCGGCTGCTAGCACCAGACTGAGAGACAGATGTTTCCAATCCCCAACTATATTGCAAAGGCCACTTGAAATGGATTCTACTTTAGTCTCCTGCCTTAAAAGTTTAATGCTCACTTCTCAAGATACACTTGTAACTAAAAGGTGAGAGTAGTGCTCAGGAAAATGCAATCACCCCCAGTAGGAAAAGCAGAATTAAGCAATAATAAAGTCACTGCTCAAGGCAGATAGTGGGATATTAACAATGACACCATGAAAGGAAACCTTCACTCATGGTCTAAGAGAATGAATTTCAGGCTGGAAGGAGCAGGACAACTGCATTAAGAGGAAATGAAAATCAAGGTGGTAAAGGGAGTAGTAGTGAGGTCTCAAGCTGCTGCTGATAACCTTATGATTCCAAATATAAGTACATTTCCAAATACCGAGATTACTTCGTATTTAATAGAGGGAACTGTGTTGTTCTTCATAGAGAACGGAAATGATATTAAAAGACTAAAAGTAGGTAAAAATCATTTTGGTTTTCTAAATAGGAAGAAAGGAAAGCCATAGGTTGGTGGGATCCTAGTGCAATTTTAGAATGAGAGAGAAAGTAGTGATAGTCAAGGATTATTAAGGGGGAAATATGCCAAATTTTAAATGAGTTCTTAGAACTGGTAATAGTCAACTGTGAAAGCTCTAAGATTTGACCTTGTTTGTTAGCTACCAAGTTAGCTGCCACAGTTTCATGAATGCTGATAGAAGACACAAGACTCTTTAGTCAGAGACAAAGGACAGTTTATTATTCATAGCATTAGAACTATCTGGGGTGTCATTTTTGTGCCAGTTTCCCGAGCTCCAGTTCCAAAAGGGTGAGGCAAAGAAGATCAGACGACATCTTCATACTCAGTGGTTTTTTCATTCCAGGAAAAGACCTCTGAGCCTAGGAACCTGGATCTTTTATAAGGAGAAGTAGACACGCCTGCTATTTACACCAGAGGTAGACACTATCTGTATCTTGCAAGGCAATTGCTATGCAAGCATCCTTGAAGAGACAGTCAGGAGCATTCAGAAACATGAGAAATCAGTGGAGAATTGTCTTCCAACCATATTAAAAACAATAATAGCTGCTATCATTTATTCAGTGTTAAATAGAGGTAGGCCATGGTTATAAACTAACTTCTTGATTATGTAATAAATAATATATAAACTAGAGATAAAGACTAGAAAAGAATCAATTTCAAGTGGCCATTGTAATTATGAAGGAATATATGTCCTTTGTAATATCCATGTGAATGAGATGGAAAGATGTGAATGGACAATGTCCATTTTAATGGGTTTATATTTGGTTGAGCTGAATAACTCAAAGTATTAATGTCAGCCTAGAGAAACGTTTCCTGTGGTATCCTTGAAAAGGTCTTTGCCCTTGCCCTATTCTTGTGTTACAATGTTATCAATGACTGGAATGAGAACACAAATGGCAGTCATATAAGATTTATAAAAAATAAAAGACTAGAAGAGACAGCCAATATTTGGAGGAAAGACATAGCATTAGGAAATAGACGGCCTGAAATTTACCCTGAAACTATTAAAGTGAAATTAAAATGCTAAACATAAATGTCTATACCTAGGTTTAGAAGCCATCATTATAACCACAGAAGGATATAGACTTAACCTAAGAGCCTTTCATGTTAGAAATACTTAGAATGGTTACCTTTAATAAATTACTTAAGCTCCTTGGGTTTTCATTGCCTCATTTATAAACGAGATGCTTAACCATACTATTTCCCTCTTCCTGTCTAACTGGAGCCTGCTAAATAATATTTATAAGTAATTAAGTAATTACTTGATTGAGAATAAACTAAGGCAACAATTTTGTGAGGCATGAATATAACTGTGTATTCCAAATAAAGAAAACAGTAGTCTCACTATACTGTCTACTTGAGTACTGAGTTCATTTCAGGGTGCCCCACTTTAATAAGGACATTGAAACACTGACAAACATCCTTATGAAAATGAAGGTAGAAATATATGTTTTCCATCTGAGGTTGAAAAAACTGAAGTGTTTGGTCTGTAATAAAGAAGAGTTTAAAGACATCATTACAACCTCCAAATATATGAACCAGTGAACTGTAATTTTGAATATGTCTAAAGCACTAACCTTCTGTCAGCTATGCTGTAGAAAGGCTGTGGCTTTGGATGGAAGGTGGTACTCGATGACCCTGGAGGGCCCTTCTAAAATCTATGAGTCCCTGCTTTCTAAAGCCACGCTATTCTGACAGAGTAGTTTGAGTACCGTGTTTGAGAAGGCGTTGCTTTTAATCCCCGCACTAACTTGCTCTGGTTACTTGTGAAACTCTGGACAATCCACTCAACACTTTGCGGACAAAATCCCCACATATCAACTGATAAGTGTGGTTAATGCATCCATTTGCTTGTTGATTAGTCTTCCTGGGGAAATAATTTAAGCTACTAAAAAATATATGAACATAAAGTATTTGGATCTTTAAGTTTTTTTCTGGCCAGATTCTCAGAGTATGAAGAATGATAAGTAAAGAGATAGTTTTAATTGGTATAGAAATACAGTTCTATATTCTTTTTGGTCATATTTGAACGAATGAATCTTCTCTACTAGTCTGAATTATTCCTGAAAGTCATTTGGACTAAATTTAGCTCCAGGGTGTCCCCATTCTGAGGTGATTTTTTTAAAAATATTTTTCAAGTTATGTCCTAAAAATGCAAAAGTATTTAAAATCCTGTGAGACCAATGGCAAGTATGATCAGAAGAGCTGGTTATGTAACTTCCTAAGGACTCTGTTCCTTCTCATTCCATCCTAAAAGTATCTGTACATGAATTCAGAGGAAGCCACCAAAGGCAGACCAGTGTCTGAGGGAAGGGGATCAAAGAGATGCTGGCAGATTCACTGCTGTCATAAAGACCTCCAGTCTTGCAAGATCAAGATCTTCGTGCATATAGTGTGTCCTCCCATTTAATTCTGCCTCACTTATCCCACCCCACCCCTCCAAAAAAAAAAAAACAACTCCAAGAGAAATCTATTTGAACTGTTTATACAACTTTAGATCTCAGATCTCAATGAGTACATTCTACGTAAATACTATAGAAATGCCACTGATGCTGTTCCCTGCTCCCCTACCAGGCCACCCATGGAAGACTCTCAGACGCTCTTGACCCCTGTGGTGAGCTGTGGGCCTCCAGGAGCCCTGCTGACCCGCCCAGTCGTCCTCACAATGCATCACTGCGCAGATCCCCATACCGAGGACTGGAAGATCCAGCTCAAGAACCAGGCCGCACAGGGACAGTGGGAGGTGAGCTCCTGTTGCAATACAGACGGAATGCAGGAGCAGTCCATGCAGATTAGCAGGAGCCATCATAGGAAGCCTCTTATGTTTAAAGCAAAACATGGGAAGAATTTTAGCTCACACTCAAAATGAAAGTCAGTCAGACAGACAGACTACTTCCTGAAGGCTTTGTCTTCTGATGGAATACCCAAAGAAAATCGTGAAGCATTAGCTAACTCAGGGAAAGTGCACTTAAGAGTCCAAAGTCCCTTTTAGAATATAGGTACTATATATTGGAAAGAACTACTTTTTTTCTTTTTTAATCTGCAGGTAGAGAAACACTACACCTGGGTCACAAAATGTTAGGAACTTACTTGCAGACAGGTGGCTGGGATATAGTTCTTGTGGACTTAACCTGGGAGAACAGAAAGGGTGTGTCTCCAAAGCTCCACTAGAATGAAGAAAATCTGTGGTATCTTGGCTCTCTGTGGCCATTGCCATCATAACTTCTTAAGGACAATGCCTTAAACACATACTTTTCCTTACATCAGAGCCCTTCACTTAGCACCTATATTTCAGGAATATGTTTACCCCAAAATATCAAATAGTTATGAAAACTATGACATAAATTTATATTTATATATAATTTTAAATATATATAAAATATGAAGTTATAATATACAAAGTATATGTTACCTACTTTGTGGTTGCTTATAGTATTTTTCTTTTAGGAGAGAAATTTTTAGAAAAGATATACATAAAGATTCAAGCCCCCAATAATTTAGGAAAACATTATGGACTTCCTGGGATTAACTGGAATTTCCTTTCTATGAACATGTTCTACTCTTAGCCATATGAGGGGACCACTCCTTGCCACAGGACCTAAAGTGCAGGATTGGAGTCTAGGAATATATGTCATATTAAGACCAGACTTAAGCAGATCGAACTTTAATTCCATTTGAGCTATACATGTTTTATCTGGAAAAATCCCAAAGTCTTAATCTCAGGTGATCCTTAATTTGTTTGTATGATTTTCCGCCTAATACCCTATCTATTTCTGGGTTAGAGCAATAATACTAACAACAATAATAATAGTAAACCAAATAGATGTGGAGAGTGGAAGAGGATAACCCTTATAAAAACACTGTTGTACTTGTGAGTGACTAGGACATGGGCATCTTTATTCTTGGCCATGTCTTCTAGGATGCTTTCTGTAACACGCCGTCACTAGATAATACTTGAGGTTTGCCTTTGTACTGCTGGAGAAGGCAGCTTCTTTCCAGGTGTCCTTTGGGGGCTGGAATAAACCTGGAAATGCTGAGCTTCTTTCTCTCTTTTCCTTTTCAGTTTGAGCTTCCCTTTGGGGTGTAGGTTCTGTTGAAGGAACTATTTTACTGATCATCACTTCCACTTATTTTTATTTCTTGCTGAATATTTTCAAAGTCAAAAAATAATCGAAAATACTGTTTAATGGCTTATATAAAAAGTAACAGAGAAAAGTGTCTTAAAGGCATGGAGTTTGTCATGTCTTGCTTTCCACAGAGTGGCAAACAAGATTACTTAGGAAAGGTGGTGTATTGCTTTGGAAAGTAACTGGCAGGTGAGTTTGGAAGAATACAGTGGAATGCAACTGCCTAATTCCTTAATTTCTGTTATTATTTTCAAACATGTATATTTTTAGGGAAGAAATTGCTATGCTATAATGACATTGTAATAAAATTGCACTTTTGGATTGAATTAGAAACCTAGAGAAGAATGCAACTGCCTAATTCCTTAATTTCTGTTATTATTTTCAAACATGTATATTTTTAGGGAAGAAACTGCTATGCTATAATGACATTGTAATAAAATTGCACTTTTGGATTGAATTAGAAACCTAGAGATTTAAACATTAAATTCTCAGAAACAGATAATAAACTCAGGTACACTAAGGTTGAAAGGATAATTTATAAATGTCTTCTAGATTTTCATGTAGATTCCAGTAATGTACAGTCTTGGAAGATGAAAAAATGCTAAAGAAGGGGCACCTAAATAAAGAATATTATCAGTATAAGGGCAATGGTAGAAAGGGAAATAACGATTAAGGGTTTAAACTGAAGTGTCATAAAGCCTGAGAAAGGAAAAAAAAAGCAGGAAAAAGAATAATCAAAACTCAGGAGAAGAGGTCCTGCCCTATCCACCACCATCCACCACCATCCATGGTGGCCAGTATGCGTCCTTGGTGGCTTAGCCATGATGCATTCCTTCCCTCTTGTCCCCCAGGATGTGGTGGTGGTGGGGGAGGAAAACTTCACCACTCCCTGCTACGTTCAGCTGGACACAGAGGCCTGCCACGTCCTCACAGAGAACCTCAGCACCTACACGCTGGTCGGGCAGTCCACCACCAAAGCGGCCGCCAAGCGCCTGAAGCTGGCCATCTTCGGGCCCCTCTGCTGCTCCTCGCTGGAGTACAGCATCCGAGTCTACTGTCTGGACGACACCCAGGATGCCCTGAAGGTAAGTGGCCTGCCCGACCTGCCCTTTCCCCTTCACCTGGAAGCCGGGGCTTGGCCTGCTGTACCCACCTGGAGATGTGTGTGCCTGCGCCCACGTGTGGGAACACGCGCGTTTGGCCACAAAGAATGCAGTTTTTTTAAAAAAATAGACATTTGTCTGAGGCCATGCTGATATACGAGCTGTTTCCTTCATGCTGATTCCTCCCAAGGGCTACTTTTGTTTACCTTCCTTGATTTCTTTTAATGAAAAATTTAGAAGAATTTGGCAATGAGACCCACGGATGGTAAATAATCTGCTCCCGTGTTTATCTCAGCTGTGTTCTTCCTATAAAAGGGATCGGCGTAATTGCTCACACTGTATGTCCCTCTTGTGTGCCACTTCATTTATGTGCTTTCCCATTCTCTTTAGGAGGGCTCTGGGAGCGGGTTAGCGGTTGACAACAGGCTGCTGCTTTGCAGAATAAACGAGCTTTAATTCCTGGTGTGATTATTGCCATTCACTTCGTCCCATTTGAAGCTCTAAAGGCATACCGTAAGCACCTTTGAAGAAGTTATAATCTAGGAGGAGGAATAAAAGGAAGAGTGCCAAGAGGGTGGAGACATGGCGGAGCATGATAAACGCTGCAGCTGAGATGCAAAGTTCTATGGGAGTGCAGGAGAGGAGGCACCATATCATTCTGAGGCAATCAGCAAAAGGAGGTCACATTTGAGATTGGCCCTAACGGAGGGTAGGGTTTTGACTAAAAATAATGGGGGGGACACAAGGTTTCTAGGTGAAGGGAGGAGCATGAAGAATTACAGAAGCAAACAGAATTACAGAAGTAAATGAAGACTGTGCAGGCACATAGTTTCCAGTAAGCTTAGAGTGATCGGTAGGAGTTGTATTGGGATGGACCGCCAGAGAGAGGAGTTGAGATTCAGTTTACTGAGATAAGGAAGACTGAAGAGGTTTAAACGGAAGAGAGACATGATTGAAAATATGCATTAGAAATATTAGTTTGACTTCAGTGGGAAGATAGAGCCAAGTAAAGGAGTGCATGCTGGAGCTGGCTGATGACAGAGGGGTGATGGAGGGAACAGGTGGAAAAGCTCCTGTTCAAGTAGCCTCTTCGGGACCTGGTGACTGACGCTGCGTGGGTGGGGCAGAAGATCACGTTTCCGCCTGTAAGTAACAGTAGCAAAGCAGAAGGCAGGTGGTAGCCTGGGGCTGTAGCCATGGTGCCTGTCTTTGTCAGTTCAGGCTGCTGTAACAAAGTACCTCATACTGGGTGGCTTACACAGCAAACATTACTTCTCATGGTTCCAGAGGCTGGAAGTCTGAGCTCAGAAGCCATTATGGTCGGGCCCTGGTCTGCTCTTCCAGTCGCAGACAGCCGACTTCCTGCTGTGTCCTCACATGGTGGAGAGAGGGCGATAGAGCCCCCTGGGATCTCTTTTATGAGGGTATTTCAAAAAGTTCATGGAGAGATTTGTATTATTTTCAATTCTATTTTTCCAAAAATTTTTGACTATCCTCAATGAGGTCACCCACTCGTAAGGGTTCCAGCTCATGGCCTAATTACCTCACAAAGGCCCCACCTCCTGATACCATCCCAGTGGGGGTTAGGATTACAGCATATGAATTTGGAGGGACACAAACATTGAGTTCCTAACAGTGCTTTTTCTTTTGAAATAGGAATTAAAGGTATGAATTGAGTATCAAGACAGAGATGCCCAAGGGACAATTAGAAATACGGGTGTGGCTCTCTGAACAGAGAGCAGATCCTGAGATAGAGATTCAGGAACCAGCCATATCGTGTTGATATTCGTCCTCCACAGTGATCAGGGAGAACACCAAGGGAGGGTAGAGGAAGAAAATAATCATGAAAATAATAAATATTACTGAGAGCATTCCGTGTGCCAAGCAAAATTCTAAATATTTTATATTATTCACTTAATCTTCACAAGAATCCTATAAAATACGATTATCCCCACTTTACA